ATTTTCATACAACATTTTATCAGGGGCACTTTTACTGAATTTTTTTTCAGGGGCACTTCATTTTACAAATAAATTACGTTTCATCATTCCTCTTACCCATTCATATGTGTGTTTAACCGACTACTTGAAACTGGAAAATGTTACATGCCAGGCCATGCTATTTCTATGCCGTGCAACATTTCAACTCACACACATAGATTCCTTCGCTACTTGTATTGTATCCATTCACTCATTCTCATCCTTTTACAATCCCCTTCTTGCTCGCTCGTTTTTCGACACTTATTTCTCGGGACATCGCGTAGGATACAGATTTGAATCCATCTTTTGCTCTGGTTTCCATTCGAAAGTGATTGTATTTAAAATATCTCTCGCATTGCATTTACCCTATCCACCACCATCAATAACTTAAAACAAAGTTGTCTCCGAATCAATTCGAAAGGAAAACATTTATACATGGTATGTATACTGTATATATAAGTAAATGTACTAATCAAATTTTCCATTGGCATACAATTTGAATTTAGAGAGACGAAAACGCTCATACATACACATTTACCAAAATGCCACCCCCATTTCTGTGCCATTAGAGATGTGTTTAATGTAATAGCAAAAAGACGTGACGCCGTTTGCAATTTGCGGAATTTTAAGGAACTATCAATCTTTGTTGTTGTTATCAATTTTCGAAAGATAAAGGATTGAACTTTCATGTTATTTTTTCTATAGTAGGTTTTCATCAGTGATGGTTTTTCGTTAGCCAGCATTGTCTTAGCCTTGGCTTACACCAACAACTGGTGTAAGCCAATCGTTAGCCAGCTATCTGTGTGAAATGAGTACATTCAAAGTATAATAATTTTTGATTTGCGTTTTCTGATTCAAATCATACAAATGTTGAAAAAAATTAATATATTTCAATTAATTTTCAATTTAAAAGTCATTTTTATCATTTGAGTAATTTTTTTTCAAAAACTTAATAAAAAAATGTCGATGTTTGGTTTCATTTAAACTCTGACCTGGTGATTTAAATGTCAGTCACAAACGTCAGTTCAGATGAGTGCGTTCAGTTCTTACTCACTGGTCTACACATTCGTTAGCCAGTATACACTTATGCGGCTAATTAGCCAGCTAATTGTTTCTTCCAAAGCGCGACACTATATGGGAATTTGCATGAAAACTTAACACACACGCGCCCCCTTTTGGACATTTTATCATTGAAACCCAAGTAATACATGCGAACCAATGGCAACACATATAATACATAGTCATTTGATATGTTTCGTTACTTGGGATGCGACATTGACGCGCATTGCCAACATGAAAGAAAATAATTTTTCTGAAATATTCTGTTTGTTTTCTAAATCGTAGTTTTTTTGGAGGCATGCAGTTAGATTCATATTTTAAAATATTTTGAATAATTGTACACTGCATTCATGAATGATTGCAAAATTTAAAATTCAATTCCGCTCATATTTTTTCTCTATAAAACTTATAAAAATGTCTGTGGTTAATGTCATCGCTGTTATAATTATGGACACGTTTTATTGTTGTCATATGATTTCACAAGATTCCATATTGATTACAACATATTGTGAAATTGTGAAATTGTGAAATTTTGCGAAATCATATCAAAAACCAAACATTAGCGATTTTTATATCACTAGACATTTGTTCGATTTCATCTTCATAATTCTTTTCTATTATTTTATCATTAATGCAAATATAAACATGTCGGTGTGAACACGAAAAAATATGAAATGAAGAAGAATTTTTTATTTACATATTGGGATGCGCATGTACAGTGTACACAGCGCCCTCATGCAGTATTTATTCTGATGCAGTAATGTCAACTTTCTGCATAGAAAACTATAGATCCCCAAAAGGGTGCGCTGTTTTTTTAGAGAGCCCAATAGAGTTGCGCTACGGGTTCTTCACTGGTTTTCATCGTAATTAAAGTGTTTTTGGGATGCCTCAAAAACCTAAAATCGCAAGTGTAATGCTACCGACTTTTCCTTGTAATGTTACCGACCGCATTTTTTGTGACACTTAGGTTCATAACACGGTGAAAAATGAAGACACTTTCAAACACTTTTCGTGATATATATCTTTGGAACCACCCAATCGATTTTGATAAATCCAAAATTGAGAAAAAGGCATATGCTTATATAGATTTTTGACAAAATTTAGTGTTTCAGCCAACCATCGCTGTATGCTGCATAATATTAAACGCACCCATTCATTTTTCATTGTTTTCAAATTCCGCGCGAAAAAATTACATAAGGTTCCCATTAAGAATGGATGCGTTTAGTATTATGTGACTTGTCGCTGTTGTGCATTTACGTTTAACACTAGCAGTCGTAGGTTTCAGTATCTATCGTACTATTCGTCCTCTTTCAGTGTGGCGTTGACTACGAAACAAATTCATTTACTCAATGGATTTGTTCAGTAACAAAGTTGCGCTTTATGCTCGGATGCATTGATAATTATGTTGATGCAAAAATCTTCACTGGCTTCGTATTTGTGCTTTGGTGCCTTCGTGTATATGTTTGTTTGTTTGTTTCAGTGGTGATGAGCGTTTTTACTACAATCCTTTTTTTTTCTCCGCAAACCCAGTCGATAATACCATCTTTTTTTCACATATTCGCATTTCTTGTTTCACTCTATCATTGTCTTTATCTCTTTCGGTTGCTTAGTCCGATCACAATGTTCCTTCGTGGATATTTCTACGAAATTATTCCCTGAATTTTAATTGTTTTTCTCTCTTGCATCGCCCTTTTTCAGTATTTACATGCACATTTTAGCTTGTAACTAAATGGCGGTCGTTCATTGTGGTAACGAACTGGTTTATATTTGGGTTTTTTCTTTTGGAAAAGTTCTGGAATTTTGTTATTGATTTTGGTTTGCAATTTCTGTGTCAGACCATTTATTAAGTGATAAGCACTATGGTCAAAGAAAAGAGGAGACGCAGGAACGCTCTCAAGTCGAACACAAGTTTCGCGAACAATTGCTGCAATAATCGTCGTCAATTATAATTCTTTTCAAACTGAACAATTCAAAAACGATGTGCATTGCTTCCGACATTTATTGATAGAGAAATAGCAGTGACCAAACGGGCAAGAGATGGAAAGAAAGAGAGGGAAAAAACAGATATTGTGTGATGGACAATGGTTTGGACATGATTTCTAAACCAAGGTAAAAAAAATTCATTTCTTTTTTAAAGTCAGCTACGTACTGCGATAAAAGCCTATATAAACAATGTTATTATATTTGACAATATTTGACTCGATGTCAATGACGATGTGGCAGCGCCACCTATAGAGATTCCTTATTGAAATAAGTGGAACTATTGAGTGCGTACACCATATCGTACGTAAATTTTCAACATGGCAGCGCCCATAGAATTGAAAAGTTAACCGATTTCGTAGTCACAAATTATCGCTGTACGGTCAGCTACTTTCATGACTGAATGAATGTGCTTTTCGCGTCCTCCTTTTAAATTACTCAAAAGTGCCAAACACACATTTTTCACATAGAAAAAAAATGCCAATCCAAAGAATAATCAGCTCATTTTTTCCGCTGCATATAGAAACGTAAACAATTTTACAAAGGCTTCATATAATATGAAATTATTACACTGTTTGCAATGATTGTCATTTTGTATTGATTCCTATGTGATTTTTACATACCTACCTCGACCATGCGAAAAAATGTGGTATTCCTAAGATTTTTTCTACTTTTCCATACGCCCATGTCGTGTATGCACAACATGTAGTGGATGAAAAGTGTTGTGTTTGTTTGTGGCCGTAGAACACGAAAGAGTATGTCCCACGTTGTCTTATACTTTACAGTTACAGGAAAAATTCATCTTACATCGGTTAGACTCTTTATTTTGCACGCAAAACAATTAACGGTCCTCTCTTTTTCATCGATGCAAAATGATAATTTCATTTTATTTATCACATGACGAAATTTAAATGAGATATAGAATAATAAATTTGCTGTCTTTTGGCCGATGCAATTCACAGAAAGCGAATGGTAATCATAATAAACTATAGAGACAACCTAAAATGCATGCAAAAGAAACTTTTCCGTACCGTTGTCCGTACATATTTTATGAATAATCATGTGCACAACCTAACGAATTTTACGAAAAAAGTTTTCTGTCTTGTAACACTATGTGAAAGAAAGTACAAAAAACAAATTGTAATCGTTCCGAAATGTTGACGTAAAATGCATATAACCATACCAGTTTTGTGTTTGCTTTTAGCAAATGAATCGGCTTTGATAGAGCTTTTCCAATATCACAATGCGTGACGACTCAGATTGTCTTAGAAATTGGAATAAATCCATAGAATTTAGTTGTTTTTGTTTCGATTCCTTTAAGTCATCGAAAACCATCATTTTTTCGGATTAAAATTGTGAAAACTCGTTGACATATGGGCCATGGCTCAATCTTTCTTTGTTCAAAATGATGGCCTTGATATCCAATTTATTTGTGATAGAATGCATTACACTTTCATAAAGAATGTCAAAGGGTACAAATCTAATCAGACGTCGCAATAAAAATCAAAACAATAGCAGATTGAAAAGTTCAACGTTTGAAAGAATTGTCGATAAGATTGAATTCCTACTGCAACATGTATAATTATTGACTTATTAATTATACATACGAACTGTTACAAGTGGGGACGCTTTTGACCAATGTCGACAGTCAAAAGCCTCATGTCTTTGTTATAGTTGAGAACCATTCTCCATTCAAAATGTAAATTACAATGAATACAATAACACTTTAACTTCCCAAATTCAGGTTAAGGAATGTGTAAACAATATCTGTCTACAATTTCTCTTTTAATTGTTGTATGCATTGTGTTCTTTCTCTTCAATAAGTTTTGCATTCAAATTTCATATTTTATTAAGAAATGTACACAAACCCTTTTTGCTTTTCTGTGTGTATCGCTTTGATGAAGAAAGATAACTAATATGATAAAAAAAAAGCCAAAAAGAAATAAAAATAAATGGAACTAGACGATTTTTTATTGATAAATTCCAAAATAAATCCACTCAACTTTTTGTGCAGCGCTAGCTCTAGCTCTAGTGCTGGTATTAAATAAAATCAATGTCTTATGGAATAAAAACTAGATTCATGACGGTTGATCATCAACTGAAAGTGGAAAAAAGTTGTGCAAAATATAAGTATAATTGTGTCGCTGAGCTTAAAAATGGGAATACAGATCTGTTACAGCAACAACCGAACATAAAATATTGTTCCCTAAAAACGTTACATGAATTTCTATCCAACGCGAGTGTAACATGAGCTAATACTGTTTCTAATGCAACTCATGTTACACTCGCGTTAGATGGAAATTCATGTAACGTTTTTAGGGAACCATATTTTATGTTCAGTTGTTGCTGTAACAGATCTGTATTCCCATTTTTATGATCAGCGACACAATTACTGGATTTAATACTTATTCTGTAATTGATCATCATTTAATTATACAGCAGTTACCATATTCTTTATTTACAATACCATATTGTAAGAACAACTCTTTTTCAGTATCTTTCGAAAAAAAGTTTTCCCTCCACTTTTAAATAATAAGGTGCTAGTCTTTCTTTTTATCCTCAAGAGGTACATCGACTAAAAAGTATTGTGATTTAAAATATATGTGTTATTCACATAAACAAGATCAGATTATGGTAGATTACGTACATGGAATAAAAGCGGATTCAAGTGGGGTAAAACCATCACTATTGACTGGGTTAATATTTATTCCAGAAGCTTTTATCAATAAATCAACGATATTCACAAAACCTGCCAAAATATACGGTAAAAAAGTGATTTAATAATAAAAAAAAGAAGTTCCGTATGCCATGCAATATTGGTTCAAAGAAAAATGCAACATAAAATTACCACGCAAAGCAGAAAAGTGTAGCGGTGTATGACCAAAAATGTCCGGAAAATGTCTTGGCCGTCTCTTCATGGCCTAATGTATGGATGTATGGATTTGAGTGGGGAGCACCGCAAGGATGCTCGTCGCGTAGGTCATGAGACCTTTTGCAAAACTACCCGTTTAAGAGATGGCCTAATGAAATCAAGTGATTCAAACAGTCAGATTACTTCTTTCATCGTATAGAATGGAATTTACTTATTAGAACAACAAAGCGCTGTCGCATACCAAATATTACAGCATAACTATGGCGTTAATGTCGGAGTGTCATCGGAATCGGAAGCAGCGTAATTGACATCTGCACCTGTTTTTAATAGTACTAGATACATACTAGTATTCCAACGATATCCTTGTGTCCTAAGTCGAGTAAATTATATCGTTTATTTTCATTTCGGATTCTTCATCAAATTCACATACGAGTAAGCGATTATAAACTGGATTGTTGGCTGTTGCCATAGCTAATGGTCCCAGATGAAATTTCTAAAAAAAGATGACTTTTAGGTGAAAACAGATGAAAAAAGATGACAAATTTTTCAAAAAAGATGACTGTCATTTTTTTCATTTTTTTAAAAACATTTATATTTTAATTCCGGAAAGGTAGGGTAGAGGTTTGTAGGTTGAACCATGATGTGCTATTTTGTCCATGACATTTTTTTTAATGAAGATATCTTGGATGTATGGATACCGTTGGAAAGAGGATTTAAAGAGCTCACACTTTGCCTAAGAAATTTATCCGATTTACTTGGAAAAGACATTTTTCAAACCAATTTTCCTCACATGCTTCAAATCGAGAAAAAAAAATGTATGCTGATTCCAAGTGCTCAAACTTTAATTAAAGTTCAAAGTCAAAATTTTTGCTAGTGGATATTTTTGAAATTTTTCGTTGCTATGAAAACTGTTGGGCCCAATAATGATGCTTTACATCAAAACATCCGAAGTTTTCATTAATTATGTGGTATTTTGGGGATTCTTCGTTAAAGTTCGAACTTTGATTAAAAACTAAAAATGGACTAAAATCTAGTAAATGTTGAAAATCGTAAAAATACCCAAAAGTAAAGGTTTTACACAATGTAGTACTTTTGAGTACATTTTTAGTACTTTTAGAACATGGTATGCAAAGGTCTTGAGGATTACTAAAAAGTTGCCACAGACACTATTGCTCTATTTCGAGTCGTTGAGAAGTTATAGGACTTCCGAAATTTTGGAACAAAATTACAAAAAATCGAAAAAAAATTGAAAAATTCCAATGTCAAACCTCTATTTATGCCCAAATATGTTCAATCGCATTGAAATTTTTCGAAAAATGCCAGGAAAAACGAAAAAAAAATGTTTCGTGAAAAATCGAAAAAATCCAAAAAACGGTAAATTTCAGGCGACTTTTGGGTCAGATCATCATTAATCGTCCTAATTTTGTAACGAAATTGAACAAGATCTGTTTATAAAAATGCCAAATTTTATGAAAAATTGCTATTTCAATAATTTAACCCTTTGATGCACAATTTTTTGTTTTTGAATCATTTTGATATATGTTTTGTGCCACGATAAATAGAGAAAGACCTCATACTTAGATTTTTGAAAAATTGCGTATTTGTCGAGAAAATCGGAAAAGAGTCAAAAGTGTCAAATCACTATAAAAGCTTGAAAAAATTAAATTTCATAAAACTAATGATGCAGAAAGTTAAATTGATGTGTTTTGGTCCTACGAGTCCTAATTTGACAATTGAAAAGAATGAACAAACCCATAAGATAAGAGGAGGAAAAATGTGGAATTCTGCTATAATTTCGCATTTTTCTTACAGCAGTACATGAACAGAAAAAACTTTCCATTCAGCCAGCCAATTGTAGCCTGTAAAGTATCAAATGAAAGCTAGTTCAATTCCCTACATTTGTTTCCAAACAAGAATGTAAAAATATTCAGTGGTTTCATAGCTATAGCGTCTGGCGTATCTGGTTATTTTAGAAACCGAAATGTGATAAAGGGTTAATGGAAAATTTGTATTAAAGTTCGATTTTGGATTCTATATCAATTTGGCTATTCGGTGTCTTCAAAAATGCACTGGTATTCTGATGATATGATGATACAAATAAGCCATGAACTGTAGAGATTTGATACTCATGGCGCCCCCTACCCCCGTAGTCTCGCCGCAACTGTCAGATTCTGTCAGATTTGTAAAATACATTTTAAGTACCTATACAACTGAATAAACACCAACTGAAATGATTAGTTTAATATAATACGCATGGGTGCTTGCTATTACCGACTAATAAATTGTAAAATTTGAAAAAATAAATTCATTCGTTTTTTTGGAAAAATTCCGACAGTAAAACATAAATGATAAATCAATCTATGACGCATTCACTTTGAATACTAATGAACAAATTCCATTACTCCTGAATTACATTACCTTCTTTGGCAACGTTTGGAAACTTCGTGTAAACAATAATGGAGTATATCGACACTACATTTCTCGCTGTTATTAAGACATTTATTTCTGGTAAATATTTTGAAATAAAAAGAAATACATTCTGTATCAAAATGTATTAAATTTAAAAACTTTGTTTTTATGCGTATGTACATAACATACATTGGGTATGAACCGGTATGAACAGCTGTAATGGCGGACATTTTCCTTTTCACCGCTTTTGACAGTTCATATTCATATATATTACATGCCAGAGATCATTTTGCATTCTGTTTATTCATACGTTTTTCAGGAGTAATGTAAATTTCATGTCAAAATAAAAATGTGCTACCCAAAGCACGTTCTTGAATTCACTGTAGAACAATTTTATTTGCTAAGTTGACATGCAATTTTCATTTCTCTTGAATAATATACAAGCAAGCTAAATGATTTGAATAAATTTATGTAGTCAAGAGCTTCATTTATTGTGTATTCCAACTCGATTTGTTTATTATATTTATTTTATTTTATTTCAATGATTATCACGTCTTTAATGTGTCAAAAAGAAAATGGCTGCCACTACAGCAATATACAGCAATGGCGGTTCGTACTTAATGTGAGTTAAGTACGTACACAGAAAAACAAAATTTTTAAATTTAATAAGAATGTTATTCATTTTTTTTAAATATATTTATTAAAATAAATAATATTAAGAATAAATAAATGCTTCAATAACATTGAAAATTCATTTAGTATTCGATTTTCTACCGAAGCAAATTCAATTTCATTTGGTTGATCGAAGTTACCAAATGAGTCAATGCATTTCAGGAGTAATGAGATTTGTTCATTGAGATTCAAAAGGGAATACGTTTGAAGTTTATCATTAGATTTCTACCGAAAAATTAAATGAATTTATTTTTTTCATGTGTATTTTTTACAATTTATTAGTCCAATGAATATATCATATTTTGAATTTATAAAATGTGGAAATTTAACAATTTATTAACACGGTCTTCCTAGCGTTCTCCAAATACTGCATTTAACGAAATTTAACCAGATTTAGAGATTATGAGAGATTACTTAAAATTCATGTGAGTTCGTAGTCATGACACTAGGTACACGTAGTTACTCACAGTTCACCGCCTATTGATACAAACATCAATGTAGTAGACATTTTTGTTTTACGAAAATGGACCATATTTTTTGCCAACTCACTGATATTAGTGTATTGTTCTTTTGCAATGTTGTTTTGGAATTCAATAACGAATTGGCTAAATTTGTAAATAATTGATTTTATTGTTTATTATTAAATACGTTCAACATCCATTTTCAAGAAGCATACACTAATCACGTCACATTTATCAAGGCGTTTTCAAGATTATTTTACAGCTACTGAAAAAATATAATAGGTACTGAAAATAGATAGCAGGTACTGAAAAGTACTGAAAACCAGTTTTCAGTAGTGACATGCCCCCTGCGAATACTTATAATACACATAATGTCTTTCATATATTACTAGAAGTAATCTAAACGATTATTGGAACGGCTATATTGTGTTTCACTCTGGTTATTATCAATAGAGAATAGAAATTGAAAACTTGTTCCTTACCATCGTCAATAGATTTATAAATTGCTTTGATTGTGTCGTTGATCTTGAGCTTAGTGTATCGACTGTAAATATTTTAAAGAGCATATTACAATGTGGCTAATAAAACTGTATTTCCATGCAATAGAAGCAGTAAAATAATAAAAATCAAATATTCTTACTTTAGTGGCAATGAATACCAATTTCCACCCGAACCCATAACCATTCCAATGAATGAAATCAACATGTTCACCCTTATTAAAAGCTACATGTTTTGAGATCTCGTGAAACTAAAAATTATTAGAAAATAAAAATATCAAATGAAAATTATTATCACAGTCAATTTATGTTCTCTGGGATAAATTTTTTCGGCTAAAAATACCAAAACTCGAAGATCATATTTTGTTAGAAGGAACGTAATAAGTGAAGAATTCCGAGCGTTCACTGTATTAAATAAATAATTATTAGTTTTTGCTTCAAAACGCAGTTGAACTTGGAGTTATATACAGTAAACACAAGCAATTCGCGCGAGAAACTGGGGAATATTTGCTCACATACGGAATAAACATAGAACACTCTGTATTGGAGTAAACGTGTGTGCGTTCACTCCAGTTCAGAGTGGTTGTTTAACTTACTAAAACATGCGCAAGCTTGGTAGTCACTCAGTAGGGGAAAAAAGACATTTACATTTATTCCATAGCACGCTGGTTTGTACCACACTGGAATAAACGTATTGACATTACTCCACTACTGAGTCACTAGCAAGCTTGCGCATGTGTTAGTAAGTTAAACAACCGCTCTGAACTGGAGTGAACGCACACACGTTTACTCCGATACAGAGTGTTCTATGTTTATTCCGTATATGAGCAAATATTCCCCAGTTTCTCGCGCGAATTGCTTGTGTGTAGAAATAAAGATCAAACCACTGAAATGCTACTGTATCTAGCCGTTTCTAATAAGCTTCGCCACGCCTTTTGGGGACGTTCGTAAAAAATCCATATTTTTCAAAACACTAGTTTAATCTAGGGGGATTTAACTACGTGAAAACTTGTAAAAAAATGATATAAACACGCACGAAATTGTTACATTCACCAGAGAACTTGCATGATTCCACTCAGTTGACAAGTTCCGTATTAAAACAACATGCGCGAACTTGTGCGAACGCGCGCGAGTTCGTGTGCAAACATGAAGCTGGACGACGCGCACACATCAGTCGTTCCATTTATTATATCTGGATTCACTTTTTCTTCCAACACTTTCTCCAGCTCTTGAAAAATATTTCCTTTGTCCATTTTATAATTGTATAAATCTTTGAACTTTTGGAAAGGATGGTATTAATGGTTGTATGATATTCGTTTCAATGTAATGGCCGTTGTGCCCGACCGAAGAATAGCAATCACGCACAAGCTTAAAATGCTTCGAACGAACAAAACATTCGTAACGACGGTACTAAAGAAAACATGATAAAATGATGATGTTTTTCTCATTGGTGTTTTGAAAAAAACCTAAAGCCTATTTTATGTTAAAACAAAATATTCACCGAATTTTTATTCAAATGAATCAGTCGGTCATAATTGGTTCGATGTTTTCGTTCGAAATTGAAACTGTGAAATCACGTTGCATTGTTGTGGATATTATATGCGTTTTTGCAAAAAAAAGTGTGTATGTTGCTATAAAAAGAATTTCAACCGAAATGAATAAATCTAATTCGATGAAAACCACATTGATAACCAAATACGACGGTCTTCGTCATCGCAGTTCTTTTTTCTTTCTTCTTTTTCTTTCTCCTTAAATAATAGATACATTTACTTTCAAACACTGACCAAACACAAATTTTTACTATGAAGTGAATCCAAATGAAGAAAACACATTAACAAAGCGAACTGTTCACGAAATTTTATGAGACAGGAAATCAGTAATGTTTAAAATGCAAATAAAAAAAAGAGACCGCCTCTAATGTTTCAAATATGGATAAAAGAAAGAATGGCTTCACAAACAACTGGTTGCCTAACCACAGGCGTATTTTTAGAACCGAATGAAACTTGAAAGGCCAATTAGGTTTAAGTATCCGATAAGGAAAAAATGTAAACAAACCAACTATTCATGATACAAGTAGGTAGTCAATTCAATGCATCCGCATGATATGATTCATAGTTCGATGGCTTCACCATTGCGTGTTGCAGCCATGAATTATAGTGATCTACCGGACAAAGTTATAAACCGATTCCTCGGAATCGGATAACCATGAATTAAGATCAAAAGAAGACTTCATTTTTCGTCAAGTCATTCACTTTACTCATCAGAATGAAAACTAATCCTTACCAAACCGTTTTTTGATTATGTTGGAAAGAACCAGAGCAACGAAGAAAAAATAGGAATTTTAACACAAACCGAAAGAATATACAACGAAATATTAGGTGAGCCAATACTCTTCTTTTCATCGACGTTAAAGTTTAAATTGTTTATCGAACAATTTCAACTTAACTAATACAACTTCCATTGACTTAAATAAAAAAAAACATCACGAGCTAAGACACTAAACATTTGCCATAACTGATTTTTTTAATTGACGTGAAATTTGAATGAAAATTGGCATGTTGTCTACGCACATGGGTATTACAGCGTGTAAATAACGGGAATTGAAATGCTCCTCTGTTGCGAAGCTGAAAATGAAAAAAAAACCACAAATCATTTCGAATTGGAATAACATGACACTTTGTCGAATGATGACGTTACAAAATCCAGATAAGTGTGAGCGAGAAATAATGAGTTTTCGGCGTCTGAGGGAATAGGAATTTCGGAGCTGGTTGAATGATGGCTCAATCGGAAGCTATCAATTTGTATGCATAATGGTTTGGGAACGACGGACACATTATTTTTGTCGAATTCCGCTCGGAAATCCGAGTTTTGGCCATGTGTAGATTTTACCATATAAATCAATGTTATTGCAGCCGCGACGAACTGCGCTCCGAGGTTTTCATACAAACTTCCCATGTAGACGGTCGCAACACAAGCAAAAATCGAAAAAAAGTGTTTAATTTTTTTTTCAATTCTAATATAGTATTGTGTCTGCCCAATCCATTGGTGTTATCGGCACATCGAAATTCGCGCTCCCTATCACATAATTTGCACTGTAAAACCAAATCACAACCAAAAGCACCATTAAAATGAATAATCATACCAATGGACTTGAGAGTGTATCGAACATTTTTGCTTCAATTAAAATGAAACACGATTTCTATAGTCAATAGATATTTCACGATTCATTTTCAAGCGAACAGAATTTATGTTGCACTTTAAAAAAGCAAGAATATTGTGTTACGCTTATCCATAAGTGGTTCAACTTTAGTCATTTTTATTTCCATGTGTGTTGTTTACGAAGTTTGAGTGACAGTCAAACAGCGACGATGAAAATGAAATACGTAGGTTGCTGCATAAGTTTCTGGCCTAACCCTGTTCCAGTGTTGCCAGATGCAAACTAGAATATCCATTGGAAAGTTTGACGTTTTTAAACATTAGTCTCTTCAGACCACTTTGACAGATGAGCAATATTTGTGTTGTTTACAGTGTGTTGAAAAAGTTGTCTCGGCCAAAAAATGGAATTAAATCGTGAGCATTTTCGTGCGATTATTTTTCACAATTTTCGACGCGGTTTATCAAGACAAGAGTGCATCGATGAGCTAATATCTTTGTACGGGGAGCAAGCACCATCCTTTAGCACCGTAAAAAACTGGTACAACGAGTTCAATCGCGGTCGACACTCTCTCCAAGACGAACACCGTGAAGGTCGTCCAAAATCGGCTGTTGTGCCAGAAAACATCGATGCTGTGCGCGAACTGATAATGCTAGACCGGCATGTGACATACCGTGAGATTGAGGCATCCTTGGGCATTAGTATGAAAAGCATCGGTAGGATTTTGCATGATCATTTGGCCGTAAAAAAGATATGTTCCCGTTGGATCCCACATAATTTGACGAATGCTCAAAAAAAGGCTCGTGTCGATTGGAGCAAAGAAATGTTGAAAAAATACAATCGCGGTGGCTCAAATGCAGTGTATAACATCTACACAGTTGACGAATCATGGATCTATGCATATGAGCCCGAAACAAAACAGCAATCGACCGTATGGGTGTTCCAAGACGAGCCAAATCCAACAAAAGTTGTTCGTGGAAGAAGCACATCGAAGCAAATGATTGCCTGTTTCTTCGGAATTAACGGTCATGTGGCTACAGTACCGTTACAGGAACGTAGAACGGTCAATTCTGAATGGTACACCACCATCTGTTTGCCAACAGTGTTTGGGGAAATAAGGAAAACCCAGAAGAGAAGACGAATCATCTTGCATCACGACAATGCGAGCTCTCACAAATCAGCTGAAACAATGGGCTATTTGAGCACTCAAAACGTCGAATTGATGGGTCACCCGGCTTACAGTCCTGATTTGGCACCCAATGACTTCTTCTTATTCCCTCACATCAAGAATAAAATGCGTGGTCAACGTTTTCCGACGCCCGAAGATGCGGTTGATGCGTTCAAAACGCATGTTTTGGAGCTACCTCAATCTGAGTGGAAAAAGTGCTTCGAAAATTGGTTCAAGCGCATGCAAAAGTGTATTGATCTTCATGGAGAATATTTTGAAAAACAATAAAACCATTTTTGAGCATTAAAATTTATTCTTTCATTGTTAGGCCAGAAACTTATGCAGCAACCCTCGTAAGTTCTTTATATAAATTTCCTATTGGAAAAGTTTGAATTTAATCAAATAATTCTAAAAAACTGTTTGTTCTGCTCATCAAAACCAAATATTAAAATTTGAACTCATGATAAAAGGACAAAAAACAAAACATAGAAATACTCCATGTATTTTGTTGACGATTGAAGCAAAATATATCAATAGCGCCGCCTAACATGATGCGACATTGGATGCGACGTTTGCATATGGCGGAAGGAACATATCTGTGTACAACGCGCACATAGACTCTTTGCATTCACACCAACGTACACATAAAGTCTTTACTTTCACACGTACGTATAGTTACAGAAATTTATGTTTGGAGGCGCTCCCAACAAAGTTTCCCCAGCAGTTCCAAACGTCCAACATTGCTTTAGCATATGAGCTAGGTAGTATTGACAAAAAAGAAAATGTATTAATTTATTATTATGTTTGAATTTATTTTGGTCTATTTGTTGGTTTTTTTTTTTTTAATTTATATATAATGGTGAATATATTTCATAAACGAATAGAAACAGAAGAAAAATTACATATCTTCACTATTTCATCTGTATGTTTTCTGCTTGTACCAAACTAGCTGGTTGTTTTGTTTTCATCACCATTCATTATTTCTTTTCATTTAATTTTTTACAAATTAATATTTTATTACTAAATACAAAAGGAACTCTATTTTTTAAATTAATTATTTACTTATGTACGACTGGCTTACTTTTTGTATTTACTTTGAGAAAAATAAAATGAACAAGCCAAGTCAATTACATTGAGAGTAATCAAATCACAATTGAATTGAAATTAGAAGACTTGTTTACGAAGACGCACACGGAATTATATATTGACAATATGAACGCGCACACAGAGTGGCGAGCCATCTCAATTTTACTTCTTTTATTTTTTCAATATTTTCAACATAGGACTGATCGATTAGCGAGATATTTTTGTCACAAAATCTAATTATGCAGTACACACTGATAAAACTGCTTATGTCAAGTAGCCAATCTGTTCTACACAGAGAAAACATAACCTCTGAATGTCATCGCAAACCGGGATAAACCATATATTTAATGGTGCTGACACCTGCTTTTGCGATAAATTCTATCGTATTTGTGTATGTCAACACCATTAAATGTATTGTTTATCCCGGTTTGCGATAGGGTTTAACGAAATGTCAGAAATTTCTTTTCTGTGTGTACATTTGACATTTTCAATATTTTGCATAAATCTGGGCACATTCATATCTTTTTGTTTGAACATGCGTATTATATATGCATGCATATCGCAAAGAAAAACAGAATTTGCTTGTTGATAATTCAGAAAGTCGATTATAGGGTGCGTATTGTGTAGTTTTGTTGATAATGGCGCTACTATATGAGTTGTTTGGAGCAAAAATGTAATACAGAAGAGTTACGTGGAAAAATGTCAAATGAAAAGGGATAGCTATATAGTTCACTATAGTTTACTATACAGTATACTATATAGCTATCCCTTTTCCGCTCATTCATCATCGACATTTTTCCGCGCAACTTTTCTGTATTACATTTTCGCTCCAAACTACTCATATTTGCTACGCTGTATTTATGTTACTTGAATCTGTATTTACCGGGCACGTAGTGGCCTGGACTTGGAGTTTATTTATTTTAGGAAAAGCCGATAGATTTTTGGATTTTAAACATTGCGAGTTGTTCTGAAAAAATGGAAAATCCTTTTTGTTTCTGTGCGCACGGGAAATGAGTAAAAAGATTCAAATGAAGTTCATCTCTCGTCCGCACAGAAACAAAAAAAATTGAATTGTGTTGTCTCAATATAGTTTCATAGAGCAATCGTATTATACTACTGTGTCCAAAAAGTAAGGTGACATTGCATTTATTTTGAAAATTCTTTATTTATTCTTCCAAATCAATTTCATCGCCTTCAAAGTAATCCCCTCCCGATACAATGCACTTATGCCAACGGATTTTCCAATCTTCGAAACAGTTGAAAAAGTCGACTTCAGGGATGGCCCTCAGCTCCGTCTTCGCTGCGGCTTCAATCTGCTCTATCGTCTCAAAACGGTGTCCCCGGAGCGGTCTTTTGAGCTTGTTGAACAGCCAGAAGTCGCACGGTGCCAAATCAGGTGAATACGGTGGTTGTGGAACGATATGAGTCGAGTTTTTGGCGAAATGTTCACGAAGAATGATCGCATTGTGAGACGATGCATTATCATGGTGCAAAAACCAAGAGTTGTCTTTCCACAATTCCGGCCTCTTTTGGCGGATAGCGTTACGCAAACGACGCATAACACTCAAATAATATTCCTTGTTGACTGTTTGACCCGGGGGAAGGAACTCATAATGCACAACACCCCGATAATCGAAGAAAACAGTCAACATGACCTTGATTTTTGAGCGACTTTGGCGCGGTTTTTTTGGTCTCGGCTCACCTTTGGCACGATATTCGCTCGATTGGTCGGTTGTTTCCGGGTCGTAAGCATAGATCCAAGTCTCGTCTCCAGTGATCATGCATTTCGTCTTGTCAATGTAGTCAGAAAGCATTGTTTCACACACGTCAACTCGACACCTTTTTTCCAAAAAATTCAATGATTTCGGTACCAGTCGAGATTTGACGCGTTTGAGGCCCAAAACATCCTTCAAAATGGTATTGACTGAGCCTTTCGATATGCCAATATCATCAGCAAGGTCTCTAATCGTTAATCGACGGTTTTCCAACACCAAATCTTTAATTTTTTGGACGTGAGCTTCGTCGGTTGAGGTTGATGGTCGCCCAGCACGCTCTTCGTCTTCGACACATTCACGGCCTGCTTGGAACTCACTATACCACTTGTAAACATTTTTTTTCGACATAGCCTCATCACCAAAGGCTTTCTGCACCATCCTCAACGAATCCGCAGCAGAAAATTGATTCCGCAAACAAAATTTAATGCAAATTCTTTGATCAACAAATTTCGACATCGCAAAAAACGAGAAATTCACTTTTAGCAGTCCACAAAACGAAGCGTATCTCAAACACTAATGAATATTTTGACGTGTAATTTGGCAGGGATGTCAAAGACAGTCCTACCAACCTAAAAATAAAAGGATTTTTTCAAACTCCCCAGCGCGCTAAATTTTAAATGCAATGTCACCTTACTTTTTGGACACAGTAGTACACGTTCGTGTTGCATACTCGTGTGCAAGAAAATGACTGACTGACTGTAACTAAAATCTATGAATTAGGGATTATTGTTAACTGAGCTGGAATTTTGTACAAACGCAGTTGACTATGATGTCATTTCAGCCAGCTGCTTATTTTGTAAACCTTGGCAAACGTGGCACTTAAATCCATTATACTGTTTCATTTCGATTTTTTAACCGTAATTAAAGCAAAAACTTACTTTTCTTTAGTTTCTAGACTAAGATTTGCACCTGGTTTTCAACGGTTCATATATATAGTGTGTGTTTCATCTAGGTTTCATTGCTATTTATTAATAAAATAAATAGTATTTAACCCTCTAATGCATACAACCGCCTCCTGACGGGCAACATTTGAACGCCTGTAGAACGTAAACCGTACATCGGCTCACATTGCTTCAAAGAGAATTTTTATTAGTCAATTTTTTCTGTTTATTTTTGTCTTTGGCAATATTTGTCTATGTAGTGTGATTGTAAAGTTATAAACAAAAATGTATGCAAAAACAAAAATTTGACAAAATAAATTATTCAAACTCCAAATTAGACACATTTTTGACACTTTTAAACAATGGATTTGATTGTTCTCTGATTTATGTCAATCGCATTTCCTGACTAAACCATGAGGAATCCAGGAATATGAATATTTTTTTAATTATCTATGGCCAAAAATCAACCAATGCTCCCAGCCCTGGGAAAAATTAATGCATTAGAGGGTTAATTACAACTATCGTTCTATTCAGCACACATTCGTTCATCTGCGTGCGCGTGTGTGTAGTTTGTTCACTTTTATGCTTTGAAAAATCGAACAACTCGAACGATGTACTGTCGACAGATCGGGCACTCACTCAAAACTTTTCCGCAGTTGGTACACGTTGCCATGTGACCACACTCCAATAACACACATTCAATTGCCGCATCCATACAAATCTTACACAAATCCACCGTTGCAAGCTTGTCGACCGCTAAAAATAGAAAAATACATTCAAAACGATTTTAATTGGCTCATTTAATTTTGATCCTCAAATATTTAAAATGATCAGAAACTTTTTTTTTTTTCAGAAAGAAGGATGTGACTCGTCACTGAAAGCTGTAGACTCTACGTATTAAAATCGTACCATCAGTCTACTCAGTCACAGTCTTCTTTGATCCGAAAAATTAGCAAAGCATCCGAAAAGTATTCTGATTATTTTTGATATTTTTCTGGTAATTTTCCATATGTTCGGATCATAATTAATTAATCCATTTAAATTTGATTAAAATTACTGAGAGCGGATTATACACTACCGTGCAAAAGTTTGGAACCACTATTTCCACTACTTTCAATAGTAAATCACAGAGGTTTCATCGAAAAATATTCATGAATTTCAAAAATATAGCAATTTGAATTTGTACTGTGTGAAAAATGTTCAAATTGATATATTTTTTAAATGCGTGAATATTTTTTTGATGAAACCTCTGTGATTTACTATTGAAACGTTGTAGAAACTATGCACAAAATATCAAGAGTGCAGGTGTTTCCGAAATATGTTAATGAGTCCACCAAAAATGGTCAATTTGTATGAAAAATACCTAGTGGTTCCAAACTTTTGCACGGTAGTGTATATGGAAAATATTTTACCTGGACAATTTCTGCGATCATCCCACAGCCGTTGTACACGTTCCAACAATTCACTCTTCTCACAGCATCCCTTGAAATCGATACGATTTAACATGAGCACTTCTTTCAATTGTTTGACACTTAAATCTTCTAGTTCCTGCCTGTTGAATTAGAAAAAAAATAGACAGGAAAAAATAATTTTTTTTTTTGGAAGACGATGAACCATCTCTGATTAAAGGAATTAATATACGCTAGTATATGGCTCAAAATGCGACACAATAAAACTTGAAAGAAAGAAGACTATCAGTGTCGATTTTTATTCGGGTAAGGTATCTTAACGTATTTTATTGCTCTACGAAACATTTTTTTTTGGTTGAGATATCTTAATTTTTTTCAAGAAAAAACATCATTGCACCGATAGTCTGACGTATTGAATTTAAGTCCAATGAATTTAACTCGAAAAGAAATGAACTTACTTTTTCTCGATGGTATTTAGATCAAAAAATTGCCTTGGGGGATGTGTTGATGTAGTATTGGTGTCATTGTTTGAACCATACACATGAATCCCAAATGACGGATCATAATTATCGTCGTCATCATCATCATCCGTGTCTTCGTTTCCATACATGTCAATTGCACTGAATTTCTTTCGATTCCCTTTCGTTTTGCCACATTTTCGACATATTAATTTATGGGCGCTTTTATGTAACGAAAACTCTTCACTGGTACTTGTCGAGCGCTCTTCATCGTCATCACCACCATCATCGTCAACATTGCCGAGAAATCGTGCGGTTCGATGACTGGGATTGCTTGTTGAAGCCGTATAAACAATACCATCGGATTGTCGTCGTGTAATTTTCCGATGCATTTGTCGTCGTGATTTCAATGCCTTTTCGAGCTTTGATCGCAATTCATCCGTATTGCGTTGCTGCTGTTGCTGCTGTTCTGACTCATTCATCACTGTGGAATGTTCTTGCGGGAATGTGATCTTGGTATCATTTGTTATCATTTCATCTAATTGTGTATTGTGTCTTTGGTTGTCGCTGCTATGATTAACTTGAGGTAATTTCGTAATTGAATTTGGTAAATTTGTTGTGTACGAAACACTGGTTGTCGATACATTTTTATCGACATTATTCTCAACGTTGGATGAAGTTGAAGCGGTATCATCAATGTTCCATTTGCTGTCCGTGTCATTTGGTGTAATGTTCGTTTGAAGTCCACCCACTGCTCCGCAGTCTTCAAATGATGCAATATCCAAACTGTCCACTATTGATGTCGCATTTAAAATGTTGTTACCTACTTTCATTGAGCTACTCAGCGGTGCCGTCGTCATTGTCGCTGTTAAATTGTTGTCAATATCTAATTGTAATTTTGTTGTTCTGAATGAAGAGCTAATGGCTTGTGCTGCCGCCATTGTTGTTTCAATCAATGACGGAGCAACGGGACTTATTAGTTGATCGCCCGAATTCTCCTGTAATTCAATAATCAGTTCATCATCGGAACATTCACATCCAGAACTAGAACCAACATCGTTCTCACAAACAGTTTTTGAAAGTTCGGTTATTTTTGAAGAAGCCAACGGTTTATATGTAGTTGAAGTTGAAGCATTCAGCATCGGCCGCGCTATAGTTGAAGGCGATTGCATACCATTCTGTGGAATGATTCGAGATATCACCGCCGTTGTTCTTCCATCTTCACTTGAGATTGATTTCAAGATCGATGAGTCGCTTGCATTCGATGAATCGCCCGTGATAGTTGGTAACGTTTGTAAGTTGCCAGTTGTGTGATTTCGCCCGGACCCAGAACCAGCATTGCTATAATTATTATTAATGTTGCTAAAGGCATTATCCACCGGTGGCGATACCATTTGAGTTGATTGATTTACGCTTGAGGTTTGTATTGTTGTGGATCTATGAGTTCTGTGGAGTTTTGATATATTACCACTGTTATTAGATGTGGTCGACGTGGCATTATTAGTCACATTTGAATTAAACGACGGCACATTCTCAAAGCTATCGCTATAACGTGGCTGGTCCTCGCATACATTCGTCTGTCGATCGCTTTGATTTTGCTTGAAATCAAAATTAAAATCTACAAAATGATATACGGAAAATTATAATTAATAATAATAATATAATTATGATAATCGATGAAAAATGATTATTTAAATCTCTCAAATAGTTATTTAGTGAAGAGATGAAAATAGAACTAACCAGCGGCAATTTTCTCCGTGAAAGTCGTAAATAAGTTTTGACACGTATTGCGAATTTGATCGAATGGATTCGATCGAGGATCATCATCACTTTGATCAGAGATTCCCATCGAGATAGATGTTGGTGATTGTTGCAAATCAGGAGTGAAATTATTTGAATTGTCCACGTGAATCAGCACTAAATTCACAAGTTCTTCTTTTTCTATGGAATTGGAAAAAATAGAGTTAAATTTAATATTAAATATTTAAATCGTTGGATATTTCATGTTTGTTGAATTACCAACGCATCCTGTAGTTGAAATATGCTTCGATTGTAGATAGAATATTAAGTCTTTTGCTTTCAATTTCAATAGTTCAATTTTGGATAGTGGACGAGTTGTGAAAATGACACAGCGTTTACATAAAATTCGTTCCTTATTTTTGGTGAGACAATTGCTACAGTAAAGTCGTCTGTAAGAAAAATAGTTATTGAAAATGTTTTAGTGATAATTCCATGTTCAAAAGGCAAAACTCACCTGCATTCAGTACAGGATTTCTTTCGTTTGAAAACCGTAAATTGTATGTTACAGGCTTCACAAGGCATTTTTTTATTACGTTCGATTTGGTTAATTTGTTTCGGTTAATAATGCTGCTTATGTTGTTCGATAGAGAGAGAAAACTTGATCAGTCAGTCGGTTCGTCCAAAGAGAGTATGCTCTAAAGATTTCTTTAATCGATGAATTAAAGTCATTGATTCAATTATTTTGCTTTGGTTTATACTGCACTTCTACTCATTGGAACTCTTATATCGGTTATAAAACTCGACATGAATATCTGAAATAGTAAAAATCAAATTAAAATTCTCTTGGTATTGTGGTATGCTATTGAAATGGTATATGTTAAAGTGCAGGACAAAATAATTCTATCATACAAATTTCGAAGTTGTCTCATCAGGATCAGATAAAAGGCGTACACCATTTTGCAATTTAAGGATTACTACATTACACGTTTTTGTCGTTCCAATTTAAGTTCAAACATAAAGTCATTGAATTTTAATTCGAAGTTAGTACACTACATTCTTTGGAAAAAAATTGTTCTTCTGTCCTTGTTTGTGTCGTGCATCACAATTTTGGTATTCGATTGGCGCTCAACTAACCTGTTTTGATGATTTGATGTGTAAAGTGTTATGAAGGCACACAAAGATTTTTTTTTTTGGTATTTGCTTGGTTTTATTTTTTGTTCTCACTTGCAATTTTACCATGCACCGGCGCAGCTCAATCACGTTCACAATTAAATCTTTTTCAATTTAAGCATACAATAACTCACTTTTGTTATTCCTATGGATTTTTTTTTATTATACTTCAACGTGAAATTACACTTGCAAAATAATAAAAACAATGATATACTGGAGTGACCTTAACGAGTCTTACTGCTGCTGCCGCTTCTGTTGATGTGCACATGTATTGTATGCATATTAACGCAGTTTAATCAATTAGTAGTGTGACAGTTTTGTTTGCGAAACTCTATGTGTGTTGTTTTTAGTCCGTATGTTACATTGATTTTCACGAGTGATAATGAATGTGCTTAGTAATAATTAACCTGCAATTGAATGCGACGACGATGGCGATTACGATGAAAACAACACCAGTAAAAAAAACATCGGGGCCAACAAAGACAACAACGGCAATGAGACAATTTCTAAGACGATACACAAGCACTGGCCTGTCATCATCATCATCATCTTGTGCATGTATTTTTATGCTCCATAATAGAACGTAACAGTAAATCTAACAACACATACATGTTTGTTCATGATATTTCTTGTTATTACGGTTATTTTTTGTGTGTGTTTTTTTCTGTTTTCTTCTATTTCATCTCCATTTTTTGGTACTGATTTGTTTTTGAACACATATCAAATGGATGAGTCAATATCAATAATTAGAATGTACAAAATAATTGATTTCTACTGTACAGTACAGTAAATTTATCTAATTTCGATACAACTTTGATTAACCGAGAATTTGTTTTTCGTTCTTTTTAACACGACACACAGCCGAAAAGCGAAAATGAAAAGATTTTAAAATCAAACAAAACAAACTACGAAACAACAATCAGCAAAATCCAAAATTTTATTTTAAATTCAATTGTGCTGCTTTTTTCCTTTTAGCTATTGGTTGGTTGACTATAGATCGGATCTAACTAATATCTGTGAACATATGACATTGTGTAATAATTACTGGTTTGACGTTGAATGAATATTTTTTATGGGTAAGTATGCGAAATGTCAAATAAGACGAAAAAGAAGAAGAAGAAGAGGAAAGAATCAGGAAAAACTGAGTCATTTCAGTAGTGAGAGTACTGAACGTTTACGAAAAAGCCAAACAGAGACGGAAAATGGGATCAGTGCAAGTGAGATGGATTGCGATGACTATGTGGCGTTAATGCATTAGTATTCTTTCATCAGAATCAGATTGTCTTTGTCTTTGCTGGTGGTGGTAGTATTGTTGCGGTATTTGTATTTGGGCTAGCACATTTTGGGCTTCTATTGACATTTAACATATTTTCGAGCTACTCAAAAAACAAACGTTCTTGTGTCTCTTCTCTTGTTTTTATCCTTCATAGAAAAAACTTTTCATTGATTGTTCAAACATCATCGCATTCCAGTATTTCGCATCGCAGTGAAAAACATTGTAGCAAACTAAATCACACACATACAAACATAAATATATGTTTGGGAGCCTTTGTTTTGACGTTTTAAGTGCCATATCTGAATGCCTCATCAACGGCGTGGTTTTACTGTGTATCTTGGATGCCCAATTTCAACTATCTCTAATGCAAGTATTATCTAAATTCTTTCTTTTTTCTTTCGTTCACAATCACATTTCTGTTGGGGTGATACTTCAATTTTGATTTAATAAAAATGCTGAATGTTAGTCGTGATCAACACGTCAATGTGATGTCGTTCTGTGTATTAATGTTGTATTTAAAATCGTACTGACAAATATTTCACACGCTCAATTTCATAAATTCTACCAAAATCTGGCGTGCCAGCGAATACTAGACCATTTGGGTGAATTCATGATCTGAATCAAGTAGCAATAAATGACAGCTACAACAAGCAATAACATATTGACCAATTTCATGCAATGATAAGGTTAAAAAAGAATTAATATGAAAAACACATCATTTTATTGTATAGATGTGGGGTGGATGTAGTAAAGAAAACAAAAATCAAAATGTTTTTTTGTATCATCGATGATTAAATATGCACGGTTATGTATTCAGATCATTTATGTATGAAACATAAAATTCCCCCACCAAAGAAATCAGTTCGATATAATCGGAATTGACGTAGCACATTGCATTCAATTGTCTAGTTTTCCGTTGTCCGATTCGCTACTGATTATTGTCATTTCTTCCACCTTTTTTCATCGGGTGTACGTGTGAGCTCCAGAAGATTAATGCCAAATGCATAACGGAATCTTTGCACAATATTTTTGTGAAACGCTTACTCTGATCGACTGAGTTATTTTGTGTGCCATTTTATAGATCTTACTCAACGTAATCGAACCACTTATATCTCGCTCAACTTTTAATCTTTACCCAATCGAATTTTTTCTTTGTCCCAAGTTCCAACAACAATTCATAATATGAAATCTAACAGTTTTGTGTATACTCTAGCAGTTGTTCTAATTGTTGATTGTATGCAGTTGGCATTGCATCGACATCAACAAGTTTGTTGCTTTGGTGGCGTAAATTCTTGGATTGGCATTGCATTCGGCAACAACAACAGAAACAGAGAAGACGGTTCAACCGCGACGCGGTCACAATTACGAGAATGTATGAATTTCGGCCATTTCTTGTTACCCGTTGTGAATACAAAAGTTATGCAAAAGCAACAAGTATCGGTCGGGGAATAAACTACATACCCAAACCACGTAGCGGCCATCGAGTTGTTGCCAACGAAACCGACCTATTCTCATTCGGAGGTAAGACTTATAATAATCAAACATCAGGCTTTTGCTTATTAACATTTATAAAATTTTTCTATAGGCTACAACCCAAACATCGAAAACAAACTTTTACCAGAACTATTGAAATTCAACTTTTTAACGCAAAAATGGAGCATAGTCTTCTCGTCTAAAAGTTCTAATATGCCACAAGAATCTGTTTCGAATGCACTCACATTGAAGGATAATTGTTTGGTGGTAAGCAAACCAAAAAAAAAACATTTTTCAATTCTACAAAGTATCATTTGTTGCGTATTTTAGTTGTATGGCGGAACGGGTTTCCCATTCGGTGAGAAAAGATCAAATGAAACATACCTTATGTGGCCGTATGAACAGTTGAGAGCGATTGAACATTTGGTTACGCAAGGAAATAAGCCCGAGCAATTGTACGGTCAATCAATATTAATAAGAGGATATTATCTATACGTCTTGGGTGGAACATCTGGACACGAATTTACATGTGATATTCATAGGTACCTAGACACTTTTTGGTAATTTCTGGTTTAAATGAATATTTATGTTACATTCTTCAGATATTCAAATGCTTTCACCCCCATAATTTTTTCTCTTTTAATTTGTTCATGCATATGTTGCATCGAAATCAAATATTTGCGTCGTTTTCAACCGTTCTCCAGCAAAAATTCTAGGGGGAAGATCCATTTGCAAATATGTTTATCTGCATTTGGATGGTTTAATATATTCGCACAATATTTACTCATTTTTGTATCAACCGTGAATATTCACAAAATGCCATATTTGCGGATGAAATTAGCAAATTTGGAAAATTATTTGCATGACAAACACTTTATTTACAGAATATTTGCCATATTTGCGATACTGTATTCTACGCCAGTAGCACCCTCTGTCGAAAATACATGCCATTCTTGAATATTCAAGCAAATATATTTGCTAATATGTCACATATTTGTGAGCATTTGCGAGGCATTTCAATTCGATATTTCCCCTTAGCAAAAATGGTTAAAATTATGATCAAACGAACAAATCAAATATATATGACCGAAAATGGGGTATTTCCAACGCATGTGAAGCATAATTTTATTATATTCAACAGATCCAAAAACTTTCAGAGTTCTGTTTGTCCCTATCGGAAGTTCACTAACATGAATCATGAATGACGTTTGAAATGCCATTTTTGACAAATACCATTTCCAATATTTGGGTAAACCTTGTGACGAAATCATTTAATCAAATTTCCAAACTCTACCGTATAGATGCCGCTAGAGCATCATCTGCTGAATATCTTCCATTCACGATTCATGTTGTTGGGTATTTCAGTTTTTACTCGATTATAATATTTTAAATAAATATTCTCCCTTTCGCCTTCCACAGACTTAATTTGAACACACGTACGTGGGAGTCATTGTATGTATCCAATGAAAATATTCGAGACAACGACCCAAAGGGAAGGTACCGGCATGAGATTGCTCAAGACGATGAATACATATATATTTTTGGGGGTGGGACACAGGACACCTCATTCGATATGGAAGTGGTAGGAACTTTAACCAAAGCATATCGTCAGATGTGCAAGTATTGTTAAGTATAGAAACAATCACTTATATTTTGTTAGCATAAACATCTCTTTGAATTAAATTCAAATCCATTACTTCAGTAACCAATTTAGGACCATGATGATCAATTATCATGGTACTTGTAGTTCTGTTGATCCTTCACAGCAAAAAATAAAAGTCTACATCTGGGCGTTTTTCAGCTAAAGATGCATTCAGTCGATATTTCTGCTAGTAATTTGAGCTGCTTATAATCTGGTTGGAATTTCGTCTGAAACTGCGTTTGCTAGGCAAAATATAAGGCTGGGCGCCTCTACCAGTCGAAATTCCACCTTAATGTGAACTTTTATTTTTGACTGTGTTTGTTTTCAACTCTTCATTTTGAAAGGGCAACTCACAACCTGCCTAAATAATCTTCCATCAAGATTTGAAAACAATGGAAGTCTCACATTTTCAAAAATGAAATGTGAAATGTTCTCAGAATTTTGAGGTCTCATTTCGAGGTGGTCAAAATCTGGTTTCCCAAGGTTTTTCTCAGTCAATACGCATTTGATCGATTCCGTGAGGTCCAGTATGAAAACTGCTTACTTTCTTTCATTTTCTATTTCAATTCAGCTTTTCTCTCATTCTCATTCTCCATTATCACTGGACACTTGCTTCGTAAGTTTTGCCACGCCATTTAAGGTTTAAACGTGCAACATTCAACATCAAAAATGAAATAAAATCAAGATCTTGTAATTCATTTTTTGGAAAACTGAGAAAACAATGTTTTCTGTTTTTTGTTATTACTTGCAAATATATATTTCTAATCAATGTAGCAGCGAACTCATCATCATAAGCGTAGATGTAGCAGAGAGCAACAATTCGTTAGTTGCCGAAATATTTCATATGCAGTTCACCCTATATTTCACGTGGAATCCTAATATTTGGTAAGCCGAAGTATGATTTCGTTAGCGGCGCTGCGCGCAATGTATGGCCTATGGCTGCCACGATATAGAGTAAATAGGAGTTCACGTTATATTTATTGTCTACATGCGACGTGGCAAACGAAAACACACTTCGGCTTCACAAATGCTAAAAAATACCAAAACCAAATCATTCAAATCTTTTTTTTACGTTTTTTCTTTCTCTGTAGTGTTCGATTTTGACAGTTCTGAACGTCTCTGTTGGATTTTTTTCGAAACTGATAAAAGATAAGGACTTAATGTCTTCGACAAAATTGTAGCACTCAAAATCTTCTATAACTTTGCTGCGTATAGATATTCCTCATCTTCTATTAGTTTTGTAAAAACCCAAAAAAAAACTTAAAAACGCGATAAATCATCAGGAATGAACGTTTTTTTGGTTATTTTGCAATCGAAAGAAGTGTCTTCTTTCATGAAAAAGTCATTGAAACACACTCTACTTTCAGTCTTGTCCAAAGAATTCAAAATTTTATTTGCTTTCTATGTACTTTAAATGAATTTTTTTCTTTAATTTTTCTAACAAACAAACGAACAAACCTTTTTTTCCTCAAATTTTCAAACGAACAAATGAACAAAAAATGTTTTTATGTTGTCTAACAAGCGTTCGAAAGTGTTCGATGGCTAACACTATGACAGAGTTCTTCTTACACACCGGGAATAATGGTTGAGATTTTTGCTTTAAGATATCTAAAACGAAACTTATTTTTTTAGACTAAATTTGTATGGAAGAAAATAAATTTAATTTTAGATCTTAATTTTGGATTATTTTTACGAGAAAAAAAATTCATTGTACCAAAAATCTCAACCATTCTTCCCTGTGTGTAGATTTATTTAGATTCATCGTTTCATATTTAAAAACAATTTCAGTTAATAAATTTTGCAAATCCGTCTTGCCAGATACCAGCATACAATTTCCTCAAAAATGAATTCGTTTTCATCCCAACGAATGCGGATCCATCATTTGGTTACCCAGAAGCCCGACGTTTTCATTCGTGTGTTCAGCAAGGGGGTGAGGTAATAATTGCAGGTGGATCTAAAGCGGTTGGAATATATTTTGACGATATCTGGAAATTCAATCTGCGGACTCGTCAATGGAAACTTCTCCAAACGAAATTGCCTTACGTTCTATTTTTCCATGATGCGGCTGCCGTCGGCAATGGGCTGATGTATATATTTGGTGGTGTTACAACCCGCAACGGTGATTTGGTGCGAACGAATGATTTGCATAAAATCTGGGTTCAAATACCAAAACTCAGTGAAATTTGTTGGGAAGCACTAACTTTTTATGATCCGACTATAGCCAACCGAAGCAAAAAAGCATTGCTTGAAATAGGAGTGCCACGTACATTTGCCGAACGAGCTACTCACGGTCGCAACACCGGCGCCGATTAATTTCAAAGTTTGTCAACACTAAACGATTGATTTTCATTACACATCAACACATCGATTCGTTGGCATTCGTTGATTTTATTACTGTTGATGAATGACCTTCATGTCAATGAACTAATAAAAATATCGTTGACTCGGTAGACTATAGTGTATACAGCTCGTTTCCTGAGTCAACACCTTGATTACAATTCTATTCGCAAGTTCATATAATTTATATAATTGCAAACACAAAAAACAATTGTAAATAAAAATTGTGTAGGGTAACTTTGCTTAAATCATTTGAATTTGTACAGAGTTTTAAAAGAAATTGTGATCCATTTTCGAGAGTCCACATTTCAATCAGCATTTATTTGCTTCGTCTAAAATACTAAAACAATGAAATAATATTTTTTTACATTAATGTTAATTACTTAATAGAAAAAAGTAAGGCAAAATAAAACTCATTTCAAGTGTTGCAATGATTTTAATTGGCTTTTGGACACAATATACATCATTCATAACAGTGGACCATATAGAAAAAAAGCAGTTCGTTAGATTGCCAGAATAAAATGTTGAAAACTGTATTTTCATTTGTATAAAAGACTTTCTTTTTTTCGATTGTAGCGTGAAAAAATTGCTTGATAACTTATAGTGTGTGCATTTGAAGCGAATCAGCTGATGGCGAAACACACACGGACACGTTGGAGTCGAACTTGGTGCGCAAGTTAATATCGACAACAAAACGATATTATATTTTGTAAAATTGGTCCCAGTGCTTTGTTTTATTT